TTTTTTTTTTTGAATAATTTTTTTAATAAAAAAATTCTAAAAATTTTTAAATGTCGGCTAACTTAATTTTCATAAATTAGAGCTAAAAATTATTTTTAAAAAATTGCACTATTAGTTTTTCAAATTTTTTACATGTGAATTTTTTTTTTTTATATTTTTTTGTAATAATTTTTTCAGTAAAAAAAAATTGTTAAAATTTTTAGATGTCGGCTAACTTAATTTTCATCGATGTTTCCCGTTTTTTTTATCCCGTCTAGACCGGAAGTTCGGATTCTGTCCCGTTAATTCCGGATCAAAGTATACTTTTTGCCCCTGGGATACCATTAGTGTGCATGTGCGGTACTATGCGCATCATTACTCACGCGCATCAAGCTTCACAACAGCTGTCACGACGCCATTAGTGAAAATCTCGGCAACATAAACACATCAATTGTGAAAAATAATTTATTTACTTGATTTTGTTAATAAATATTTATAAAATTAATTATTTATAAATCAATTAAATAATTAACATGAGTACTTCTGAAATGCCAGTGATGAGTGAAAGTGATGAAGAGGATACTGGCTACATTCAAGCCGAAGCACAGTATAACACGGAAAATTCAATCCCACCGAAATCCAACGATGAATATTATCGAAGTTATCAAAGATTTATGGATTGGACAATTGAAAAAAAAGTTGAAAATCTTACTGAAGATGTATTTTTAAAGTACTTCAAAGAAATTTCCAATGATCTCGCACCATCAACTCTATGGTCTAAATATTCAATGATAAATGCGGTGGTTAATCAAAAACATGGAATTAATTTGCAAAATTTTGCGGAGCTTAAAACTTTTTTAAAAGATAAAAATAAAGGTTTCCAATCGAAAAAATCAGAAGTATTGACATGGGATGAAATTAATACATTTCTTACTACCGCTGTCGATGAAGTTTATCTAGATCAGAAAGTAAGTTTTATAAAAATAATAATGACACTGAAGTTAGCAGACGTCAAAAAATTTTTGATTTTTTTTTTTTTTTTTTAATTAAATTACAACTAAAAAAATATTTATAAAAAATTGCACTTATAGTTTTTCAAGTTTTTAATTGAAATTTTTTCGATAAAAAAATTTATAAAAATTTTGAAATGTCAGCTAACTTCATTTTCATAAATAATAATAATAAATTATATAAGGTAAAAGCCCTAATTATTGACACCCTAAATTATTTTTAAATTTATTTAATTATCTGTGATAAGAATAATTATCATATAAATTTTTATTAAATTCTAATTAATTAAAAAATTGAAAAAAATTACTATTCAAAATATTAAATATTAACTATTAAAAAAAAAAAAAGCACCAGATCAAACCTTACGAACGTTTATTTTCTTATCAACTTTGATTAGAAAAGCATTTTTTTTAAATGCTGTTTAAATGAATTTCTTCGTCTAATTACACGGAAAGAACAAGATGACACTGGATACCATCTCAGATTATACTCAGTGACATCAGAGGTGAAAAAAAATTTCAGATGGTAGCTAGTATAATCCAGATTATACTGAATAATATCTGGATTATACTCACTGTTATCTGGATTATACTAACTACTATCTGAATTTTTTTTTAACTCTGTATAATCTGGGTATAATCTTGTTCTTTCCGTGTATGTCGCGTAGTTACTGCCTTTTTTTTTATTATGAATAAAAATAATTTTAATTATCGGAATATCGATGGTTTTCTAACGCAACTTTGTATCTTAAAAATGACCATTTTAGATAAGGTGAAAAATAACTTTAAAAAAATTAATATTCATTTAAAAACAATATTTATGAATTGTATTTTCTAAAAATACTAACGTATTTATTATTAATCTGGTTAATACTTTTTTTTTTGTCAGTAGCGCCTTTTTAATTAGATTATTAATTTTTCAATTGAACCCTTTCATCTTCAAAAATCGAAATACGTGGTTGCGTTAGAAAACCTTCAATATGTATCATTGCACATTTACATTTAGTCTAAAAAAAAAAAAAAAATTATTTTTTAGAAAATAAAATTTAATTTGAAGTTATTTGCTAGCAAATTAAAATAAAAATAAATAATAATAATTTTTAAAAATAAATTTTCCCTTCTCTCGTGTATATGATCGTTTTTTTTTTTTTTAATAACAATATATGAAAAAATTTATAAAAATTGAATAATTGAAATTAATTGTTTCCTTTATAATATTTAAATAATGGGTGTCAATAACTAGTTGATAATTTTTAAGTTAAATCTCATATTGACAGCCAGTCGACAGCGCTGTGGCGCCTTTGTTTTTACTTTGACCTAAAAAATTAACTGTAAGAGTTTGAACTCTTCTGATTCAATAAATTATTTTTAAATTAATTTTTATATTTTTAAAAGTAATTAATCATTTATGGAAATTATTATTAATAAACTTTAATAATATTGATTACTTAATAATAAGTTTCGATAAATAAGAATAAGCAGATGATTCGACGCATGCGCAGTATAGGTGTCAATAATTGGGGCTAAGGTATGTCAATAATTAGATCAATCAGTTTTTTAACCTGTCAATCAGTGTATCCGGATACTCTATTTAATTATTTAAAATTAATTAGTAAATATCCCTGATTATCATTTTAAAAAAAGAAATTGATTAGTTAAAACATTACTTGAGACATTACCACAAACAAAATTCAACGATATTGATATTTGATTGCTTAAAAAATCAAATCATAACTTTGTCTCTCTAATAGTGTTAATTATTCAAAATTATTTAGCAAATATATCACACTGATAGAAGGATTTATTAACTATTAATAATTTAATTTTTTTAAATTATTTGTATTAATTATATTACATTATAATAACGTTTATTGTAAAATATCAAATTCTATCACAGCTCATAATTATCTTTTATATTTTTAAATATCAAAAAGGTTAATTTATTTAGCGAATTTAATTATTATAATATATTCCAGCTATAGGGTCATAAAAAGTATCAAAAGAAAATTGCTATTTTTGCTTATTATTTTAAATAAATATTTGTTAACAGTTAAAAAATATTCATTAATCATTAATAAATATTTATTAAGAGCTAATAAATTGTACTTAATAAATTACTTATTAACTGTTAATAAATATTTATTAAATCCTACGTTAAAAAATCATTTATTAAGTTAATAAAGCTTATTAAATATAAACAAATCCTTCTATCAGTCCACTGATTATCATTTTAAAAAAAGAAAATTAATGTGTCAATAATTGGGTCTTACAATTTGTTTTTCTATTTACAAATATACATTTATAAAAATTATAATTTATTAATTACTATGTTTCAGGTAATTCTAATTCTAGGATTTTGTGGAGCGATGCGCTGCAAAGAACTTTGTAACTTAAATTACAATGATATAGAAGATGTTGGGTCTAAATTTATCGTATCTGTTCCAGACGCTAAGAATGTTTACCCACGATCTTTTGTAATCATGAATCAATTCTACAACATTGTCAAAAAATACGTCGCTTTACGGCCTGATAAGTGCGCGCATGAACGATTCCTCTTGTGTTACAGAAGTGGATATTGCATTCGCCAGCCAATAGGCAAAAACAAAATAAGCAATGTGCCTCAAAATATTGCAAAGTTTTTGAATTTACCCAACCCACCAGCTTATACAGGGCATTGTTTCCGTCGTACTTCGACCTCACTGCTAGGAAACTCAGGAGCCAGTCATTCTAATCATCCACCAGCCAAAAGACCTCGAACTTCAGGCGGTTCAAGTAACCAAAATCAACCAAGTTCACAACCGTCTGCTTCTACTTCCAAATCTGATCATCAATTAAAAACAAATGAAGACAGTATCTCTTCACCTATACACAATATTGAAGAATTTGATAATTTAGACTTCGACAGTCCGTTTGAATCGGTATCAAACAATCATTCGACAGCTGAATCTACAAAACGAAAGAAAGAGTCTACAAAAGAAACAAGAAAGGTATTGAGTGAAGTAAAAAATAAAGAAATATTAAATGTGTTTCATTTAATATTTCCTGTTGTTAAATTTGATTAATTTGACAACTGCAATATTAACAATATCACTATTAATACTAAGAATAATTATGTTTTCTAATTATAAAATATAATCGAATTATTGATGAGAAAAATAATTGTATTTTTTTGTTTCCAAAAAAAATATAAAAATAATAAAAAATAAGTCCCATGTTAAATTAAACAATATGATATTTTTTTTTCTTTTGTAAAATTAATAAGAAAAAAAATTTTTTTTTTCCAGACATTAAATCTAGACGGATTTAAATTTGTCGTCGTGGAGATTGACAGAAGAATTGAAGTTGTTCAAAAGGGCTGGTCACCACCTGAAGGTGCTGAATATGTAAAACCCCACGCAATTTTTGGTAAGAAATATTTTATTTAAAATATTTAAGGAGCCATGAAAGAAGATTTGATAACATTTTTATGAGATAATTTTTGGACAGATTTTAATAAAATTTAAACCACATATAGTTTTAAATTTGAAGTCATAAAATCTAAGACTAAATAGCCCAATATGATCATATATGCCCATTTATAATTTTTTTATTAAAACTAGTATTAAAAATCTCCGATAGACGGCACATGATCACTGAATCGTCTCATTATTAGAGTTTAAATCACATATAAAAAATAGAATAATAAAAGCAGGAAACTAATTTATTTATGAAATTTTTACAAAAAAAAAAATTAATTCAAAAGAAAAATCGCAACTTTATACAGCTTACAGAAATCTACGTCGAAATAATGAATTTTTGTTTATTTTATGGAAACAAAGATTATAAAAAAGAGTTCCCTGCATTCTTTGTCACTACTTAGTTATAAAAAATTTATAAAACCGATTATTTATAATCACAATTATTAATAATAATGCACCGAATGTACGATAATTACATTCGGTGCATTATACATGTAATTCTATAAAATAAACAAAAATTCATTATTTCGACGTAGATTTCTGTAAGCTGTATAAAGTTGCGATTTTTCTTTTGAATTAATTTTTTTTTTGTAAAAATTTCATAAATAAATTAGTTTCCTGCTTTTATTATTCTATTTTTTATATGTGATTTAAACTCTAAAGTTTTATATGTAATTATTAGTTCAAATTAGTGATTTTTATGAAAATATAAACAATTTTGAATTGTAGTAGTTGAACAATCAATTCTGACAAGCCGTAGTTGAACACTTCGAGAGCAGTAGTTGAACTAATAAAATATATGGCAATAGGTACACCAAAAATTTTCAACGTTTTATTGAAATATCTAAAGGATTATAACATATTATTGATTAATATTAAAAGTAATACTGTGAATATTTAATATGTTCATTTAAAAATGAGAAACATTTGTATTTAATTTTTTAATTACATTTTTTATGAATGACAGAGCAAATTTTCAATTATAAATCAAAAAAACTCAATTCAAAACCTTCAATAATAATTAACTACACTAATTTTTAGCTATAAAACTTATTTAATTTGCAGTAATTAATACAAATTACAATGCTGATCACTAGTCTATAAACCTATTAGAGATTAGAGTGCTGTTAAAATTATACGGCCCCAGCTTGTTCAGGTTCTGGGTACCGCTTTTAAAATTTGAAAGTATAGTTAGACGCTAAAATTTAATATAAAAATTATATATGTCTTTGCAAAAAATATGTATTATTTAGAAAAGACTATTTCATTGGGTGGTACAATTTTTTTTACTTGAAATGATATACCGTTTTTTTACTGACTGTTCGATTTACAGTTTAGTACCTTTTTCATGAAAAAAATAGCATCTATCGGCTATTCTCTTTATGTAAACTTTTAAGTTAACAAAAATATAATTGTTTTGATTTATAATTGAAAAAACTTACAGAAATCAATTACTGTATCATTGAATAACTGTAACATGCGCATATTACTCATAATAAATATACGGACTTTGTATTACAACAATTCGAAAAGTCTGTTCAATTACTGGTCCCATTTTTATAAGTGTTCAAGTACTGGATACTTTACCTTATAGGATAAAAAATTTTACAACAAAAATTAAAAATTTTAATTAATAATTACAGACTCGTATAAAAGTGCCTCAGACTACGCCGATACTATTAACGCGAAAAAAACTCCCAGAGTAGCTTCTTCAGTAGCTCCAAGCCCAAAAGTGATATCCATCGACGCCGACTCCTCGAATTGTCCTGAACCAAATACGCAAGAAGTTAGAAAAGTAGTCAAATCTGGGCTTCCAACTAGGACGATCAACGTTGTCAAGAACAGAGTTGCTGCAACTTCTACTCCTGGAGGTTCCACCCCCAAGAGGATTATCGGGACCCTGGTGAAGAAAAATGATAATCAAAGAATTCAATTGACCTCGGCTAATGGACTTCAGACAATTGTCAATAATAAACGGTTTATTGGTACTCTGGTGAATCAAAACTTTACTCAAAATTCTATCGCGAGCAATAAACAGAATTTGAACTCGCAGAATGCCAAGTCAAGTAATGAATAGTTGAAAATTTTTTTAAATTAAATTTTTTAAGTGAAACTTCTTTGAGCGCGTTGAGGGTTAAATTTCAAGGTCGTGACACAATAATATTGATTATTGATGACGATTACTGTATTGAAATTAAAAGAATAGGGTAAATGCACCAATTATTGACCGATTAAGGTTTTCTTTTTCTGTACTTAGCTATAAAAAATCTATTAACCTACTAAAAACAATTTCTAATGGATTTTATTAAAGTTAAATACTTAATTAATAATAATTAATAACTATTTATAATAAAAATTAACAAAATTATATTAATTTTGTTATTTGAATCCTGAAATACTAAAATCACCAATTATTGACCGAAGAAACCCAATAAATGACCGACCGTTCTCCTAATTAATTGACCGCTCAAATAATTATAAGTAATTTTGTAAACTACATGTATGTAATTAAATTTATGGAGTATTTTTGAAGTATTAACGACATCTTTAACAAAACTAAACATACAATATAATTTTAAATCGTACTTTTTTATAAAATAATATAAATAATAGCAATAATTAACATAAAGTCACATTTCTTTAGGTCACAAATAATCAAAAATTCATTTTGATGACGATAATTCTTCTGATTCACTTGAAATTTTTTTATTCTTCTTCTTTTTTTCAATTAAAGCTTTTTTACTAGCTTGTAACTCGTTTTTATTTTTTTAATTGCTTAGCAATTTTTTCTTCTAATAATTTGTTCTTTGATATAACCGTTCACTAAAAAAATTACAACAAAATAAAATTTAATAATCAAAAAAAATTTTAAGTATTATTTTAATTGTAAATATACATATTATAATGATTATTTTTATATTTACAAAATATTTAATGACTAAAGTACTTTAAACACTTGACAGATTTAATTTTGTAGTTAAGAAGTTAGTATTATAAATATACGGTCATTAATTGGATTGTGATAAAATCAGAGGGTCTAATAAATGACCGAATGAATTTTTTACTGGGTAAAGGGCTTCTGACGGATCCAATAGTTGACCGATCTTAAAATAATATTGAAACTTATAATTTAACTTTATTTTTTCAAAAAAGTTGGAATCTGATCTTTAATTAACATAATAAAACTAAAATATTTTATATTATGCCGATAAATATCACTAAATTAATGATGAAATGCACTCACTCTCCAATTGTACGCTAGTTATTTTTGACCGCTTTATGACTGGTTGCGTTGTAAACAAACTAAGAACATTTTTTTAAAGCTATAATCACTGCGCAATTAATTGCGTAATTTTTTATTATGATGATTAAATGCCATATTTTTTTATTTTAATACTTTAAGAAAAAAAAAACCCTTGTAAAATATTAATTAATTAACTTTTTTATACATCGGTCAACTAATTGGTGACTGGTCAACAACTGGTGCATTTACCCTATGTGATTTACAATTTGTGTAAATTTTTCTCATTTAAATCTTTTTAATACTATGCATTGATCCTTTAAGTACTTTATTGACTCTTTAGTCTTTAACATCTATGAACAATTATTAATTTATAAATTTTAAATTTAGTTTGCCAAAGAAATTTCACTTTTGATGTATGTACTTCATACACACGATCTTTTTTTTTTTTTAGATTGATTTTATGTAATTATTTTTTTTTTTTTAGGTAATGTATTTATTGTTGTGGAAAAATTTGATAATAGTTCGAATTTTATTACTGGAGATGTTTCTGGTAATGCTAATCCGCCGATGCAAGTTGATACCAAAGATCCAACTTTGACGTCGACTATGTCAGGTATTAATGATTTTTATTTTTAACTTCAAATCTGATATTTTTTTGGACACTATTATTATTATTATTATTATTATTATTATTATTATCTATATTATTAAGAGAATAAGTAAAATTTTGTGGCCAGTGTATTTATATGATAAAATGGGTTTTTATGGTTAAATTTGGTATCAAAAGTCTTGACCTGGAATTGTGCCTTTTCAAGGTTTCTAGATACATAATTAAGAAAAGACCTTGTATCTTGTGAACTATTGACATTTTTAAAGATATAAACTCATCCCGATGTTACACTTATCAAGACTTTTCATTCGAGTACCCACATCAATTTTTCATATATTTTATATATTTATATATTTCACAAATACCATATATATAAAATATATGAAAAATGCCATGTGGGTACTTAAATGAAAGGTCTCGATGAGTGTAACATTGAAATGAGTTTATATCTTAAAAAATGTCAATAATCAAGAAATGGCCTTTTATTTTGTCAACTATTGACATTTTTAAAGATATAAGCTCATTCCGATGTTACACTTATCAAGACCTTTCATTCGAGTACTCACATCAATTTTTCATATAGTAAGAATTTGAAAAACGAACAACTGCAAATTTTTTAATTTGTCAAAATCGATTTCCTCGCTGAGATATCGATTTTTAAAATCTTCGTTTGTCGGTTGTCGGCTAAGTTCACACTCATTAAAAAAAAATTAAAAAATTCTAAAGTGACTGCTAACTTCAATTGATGTCATTAATTATTTGTGAATCTTATCAGCTGACGTCTAATTTTTTTTGTTTGATAATTATGACACTGAAGTTGACAAACATTATAAATTTTTTTAGAACTTTTAAAACAATGAAATTATTGAAAAATAAATTTAACAATAAAATTCTAGATGTGAAAATTAAAAAAAAATTATTAATGGAATTTTTTAGAAGCATTTTTACCATGTTAATTTTTTTATTTTAATTCATTGTAAAATTTTTAAATATTGACAGCTGTCATTTTTAAGTTTTTATACTAATTTTTTTACCGAAAAAATTCTAAATAAGAACTGTTAAATGTGCTGATTTAAGTTTTATAATTATTTATTTATTTATTTATTTATTTATTTATTCTGGTTCTCCTGGTGGAATATTTTATTCAAATATTTTATTTTTAGGGTTAAGGTGACATTTGTCCGCGCCAGTGGAGAGAAGATTCAAGCCAAAGGAAAGGTTGGAGACAGCCTACTTGACATTGTTGTCAATAATGAAATAGATTTAGATGGTTATGGTAAAAAAAAATATTTTTATTAATTTAAAATTAATGATTAAATTTTTTTTTTGTAAAATTTAATGATTTTTGTTTAATTCAAAAATTTTAATTTTTTATTCAATAGAAAAAAAGTTTAAATTTAATTTAAACTAATAAAAAATTTTATTAAATTTTTTTAATTTATTATAAAAATTTTAATTAATAATAATTATTATTCTAGGTGCATGTGAAGGAACTTTAACATGTAGTACCTGTCATTTAATATTTCCAAAAGAAGTTTATGATTCCCTACCTGATCCACCCACCGACGAAGAATTAGACATGTTGGACCTGGCTTACGATCTCTGTGACACGTAATAAATTTTATTTTAACATTTTTACCTTATCCATAAATCTACAATCTTTAACTGGTCCAAAAATAGACTATTTTTATTTCTTCAGTCTTTTATGAAAAAAATATTAATTTATCATTATCATATTTTAAGGAACTTTTTCAAGATCAGTTCGATAAGATTTTTTTTCACTCTTTAATTTATATCTATATATAGTAAAATTTTTTTTTTTAATTTATTAAATTATTTTATTGGAGTACATATACACGGAAAGAACAAGATGACACTGGATGCCATTTCAGATTATACTCAGTGACATCAGAGGTGAAAAAAAATTTCAGATGGTAGCTAGTATAATCCAGATTATACTGAATAATATCGGGATTATACTCACTGTTATCTGGATTATACTCACTGTTATCTGGATTATACTCACTGTTATCTGGATTATACTCACTGTTATCTGGATTATACTAGCTACTATCTGAAATTGTTTTTCACTCAGTGTAATCTGGGATTATATCCAGTATAATCTTGTTCTTTCCGTGTATGTCGCGTAGTTACTGCCTTTTTTTTTATTATGAATAAAAATAATTTTAATTATCGGAATATCGATGGTTTTCTAACGCAACTTTGTATCTTAAAAATGACCATTTTAGATAAGGTGAAAAATAACTTTAAAAAAATTAATATTCATTTAAAAACAATATTTATGAATTGTATTTTCTAAAAATACTAACGTATTTATTATTAATCTGGTTAATACTTTTTTTTTTGTCAGTAGCGCCTTTTTAATTAGATTATTAATTTTTCAATTGAACCCTTTCATCTTCAAAAATCGAAATACGTGGTTGCGTTAGAAAACCTTCAATATGTATCATTGCACATTTACATTTAGTCTAAAAAAAAAAAAAAATTATTTTTTAGAAAATAAAATTTAATTTGAAGTTATTTGCTAGCAAATTAAAATAAAAATAAATAATAATAATTTTTAAAAATAAATTTTCCCAGGTCGCGACTAGGATGCCAAATTATTATGACTAAAGAACTTGATGGTCTAGAAGTCCGAGTACCTACAACAATAAACGACGCCAGAGCATAATTGTTAAATTAATTATAAAAAAAAAAAAAAAAATAGGTCACAATTTTTATAAATAATGATAATATACAAATAAATTAAATAAATTTGTAAATATATATTTTATAAATGGATAAATAATATCTAGAGATTTAATATAATATTTTTACATTAACTTTATATAAAAAAATATTTACAATTTTTATCTGTTTCAACAGAGTTGATTTTTGTTTTAATTATTATTAACAAATTTTAAATTTAATATTAAATTAATATTATAATTTACACTGATATTTTTTAATGACTGAAAAATTAACAAACATTTAAAAATTTTAATAAAAAAATAAAATTTTCAGAAGTTTGCTAATTTTTAGTCACTTAAAAAAATTTATTTTTGTTGGCAATTGTTGATAATTATAAATTAAATGACTACAGAAAATTTAATAAATCAATAATAATTGATAGTTAATTGTGATTAAATACATTAATTATGCAGTAAGTACTTTGGCTTTTTATGTTAATTTTTTAATTAACAGTTGTTACAATTAAACTTAGTTATTTTTAGAAAATTTGTTAAGTCTCTCGTGGCAATTATTTTTTTTGAGTTTCTTGTATAGAGAAATTTTTGAGAGCAAAAAAAAATTTTTTTTTTATTTAGACAAACATTAAAAATTTATTATTGAGATCACGCAAAAAAATTAATTATTTTTTTTGAGACTAATGAAAAAATTAAAAAAATTTTTTTTTCGTCATTCTATAATTTTTTAAGTTATCAAAATTTTATTTATAAAAATTGATAAAGATTTCAAAACTTTCTTCAGATGCCGGATAAATATTTATTAATTTAAATCTGGCTTTTATTTATATCTTGTGCTTTATTTCTATTCTTCAGTATGTCAACTTGATAAAAAAAATTCCAAGTTCGTTGATATTAATATTCAAAAGTCGCTCGAGAAAATTTTTAGTCTACTTTAAAAGTTTAAAAAATCTTAAGCGAGCTTAAAAAAATTTTTTATCGAGTTTTTTAAAAAAAGCTCTTAAAACATAAAAAAAAAATATTTTCATCCACACGGAAAGAACAAGATTATACTGAGTGAAAAACGATTTCAGATAGTAGCTAGTATAATTCAGATAACAGTGAGTATAATTCAGATTACAATGAGTATAATCCCGATATTATTCCGTATAATCTGGATTATACTAGCTACCATCTGAGATTTTTTTTTTTCACCTCAAATGTCACTGAGTATAATCTGAGATGGTATCCAGTGTCATCTTGTTCTTTCCGTGCAAGACTCGAAAAAAAAAAAAACAGTCGATTTTTTGCGCCATCTTACTAACACTTACATTAAATTTTTATGAAAATTAATTTTTTTATTAAAAAAAAAAGTATTTTCAAACCAAAATTCAGTCTGATACTTTTGAAAAAATTTTTTTATATTCAACCGGTGTTTTGATTGAAAAAAAAAAAAAAAAATATT